GACATATTTATAAACATGTTGCTATATATATGTCTTAGCTGCTATAACCACCTGTTACAGTSAGTTGACACAGAACATATACATGCTAGCTGTTGAAGTTAAATTGGTATATTGCAGAGCGACTAATGACAATAAATCTAGTCTTTTAATAGGGAATTAAAAATCAGTTTTACATCTTTTTTTTTGTTGGCCTTAGCACAACCAGCGCAACGCAGAAGGGCGCAACACAGGAAGACCAAGTCTGAAATCTTTGTGCTCAAGAAAATCTGTTCAAATTGTTCAAAATTTCTTAGATATGTTGCCAATGACATGAAGAAGACTTGCTGAGWTGAGTTGCATTCACTTTCATTCCGATCATTTCATAAAAGCTATTTCATAGTTGTCTAACGAACGAATTACGTGCATGGGATTCCTGTGGCGAAAATATTGATGAGTCATAAATGTTTGTATTGTAAAGTTGAGCAAGTWATGTCATACGTAAAAGCGTTGCTAGCACTGTACTGTTTGTTAGACACTGTAAAGATAATCATGGAGCAACCCGAGAGATATTTTGCTTACGGATCGAACATGAACGCTGAACGAATGAAGGAGAGAAAGGCTTATTACACTGATCGAATTCCCGCAAAACTGTCAGGCTACAGGCTTGTCTTTGCTTTCAATAGCGGAAGTGGATTCGGATCGGCCACCATCGTCGAGGATCCAAACTCTGTAGTTCACGGTGCATTGTACACTTTGGAAAAAGGAGGTCTTGAAACGCTTGACTTTTTTGAATGGGTCGACAGAGGAGGATATAGCCGTCTGTCTATCAAAGTTGAACTTGAACGAGGCGAAATGTTGGACTGYATTACATATGTTGCTACGCCAGCATACCACAAAGATGGCCTGATACCGTCCAAGAGTTATTTAAGCCATTTGCTAAAGGGAAAAGATGTTCTTCCTAGCGACTACTATAGTTTTCTTGAAAATCATGAATGTGGGAGCTGAATGTATATGGACGCCATGCAACGTGCTTTACTCGTGGTCTGAAGCGTTTACAGGATTAACTACGTGAATAGTTTTGAAAACTTTCTATTTGTTTACGGGACAATGACTTAGAGAGAAATATAAAGCTAGGAAGAGAATTTTAAAAGGTTTATGATTAGAATTATTCTTTATGATGATTGTTTAGCAAAATATTTGTAAAAAATCATCACTTTCCTGAGGATGCTGAAACCCATGACTAGTCATGTGTCAAACTTAATATTAGATAACTTGAAAGTTTATTAGCTAGAATGCATACCATATATCAGTGACAAACTTATTTAATGATGATGAACTTATTCCTTACAGAGAGTGGTACAAGTGAGTTGAGTTTGTTTGATGCATTGTTTTGTTTCCCTTGCCAGGCTTTACTCCTGCTTCTCTGATTTCCCTCCTCATCAAATATTGACAGTGCTAGATGGCACAGCAGGGCTAGTCTGCACTAGCATAGGGAGGGGAGAAAGGGGGCACATGCCACCTCCCCAAAAAAGTTTGTTTTTGGCACGTGTCTTTTGGCACTAAAATTTGATTAATTTCTGTGGGATTCCTGTGGTGCATTAATTGAGACTTTGCTACACCCTTGACTGTCTAAAAACAAATGTGCATATGAAGGCATACTTTCTTCCCAGGATTTTCTCACRTAATTCTGTATTAGTACCAAGTTCATCATGGGCCTTTTACAAAATATTTTGATGCACGATAGACCTATTGTTTTTTTTTGTTTGGTTAGGGATTTTTTGTTGTTTGTCTATAACCAAATTAAACTCTGCAAAAATTTTATTTCAATATTTCATCCTATCACAACTATGTACTACTCCATGGTAACATACTGCATCTACAAATTTTCCATATTTTCCCACACACAAATTTTTGGAGTGGTCTTACAAACCAAGATGCAATTTTTTTCAGTATTCCACTGGTGTGCCTACAATATTGACCATAATATACACAGGTAAAATACAAGCTGGTTTCTAAAATAAATATTTWAAATCTTATTCAGGTTTATTTGAGGAATGCTTCATGGCCAGAGCAGTTCCAGAAAATATCTAGTTCCTCGTGACAGATGTTACACCCTTTGCTATCTTATGATATGGCAACAAAGTCACAAAAAGAAAGTACCAAAAACCTTGCTTAGGTCATTCCCACCCCTTGGAAATATAAATTTTCTTCTTGGCTGGTAAGGGGAAAGGAAGTCTAATGTCATAATGAACCTTTGCATGACGATACTAAAGAATTGTTATAGGGGAAAGGAAAGGAAGAGTAAATATTTTCCAGAAGTGAACATTTATTACAGCAAATGGCTCGTTCTATTAATGTAAAACAAATTCAAGTTCCTGAAACTGATTCAAGCGAGCTACATCTTTATCCTTTCTGACAATAGTGTTAGGCAGCTTTCTTACTTTCCTAATGCTATTTGGTTGTATCTTGAGTTCGTCGCAGCACAATCTGATAAGGTTGTCAAAAGTCAGACTTTCAAAATCTAGTTCGACCTCTATAAAATYATCTTCTTCGGAATTTGCAACCCTTACTTTAAGAACCAGCTCATTTTCTAGAACAACATGTTTCATGGGACTGTCCATTTGGATCGGATGATGGTATATGGTACCATTCATGTAGTGCTGTGCCTCAGTAAATGACTTGCCACTATCTATAGCAATGGTTTTACGAGGAGGAGAGGTCATAGGGTCAGYGAGGGAAGATCTGGAGAGTTTAACAGGACTTGAAATACTATCAGAATCTTTTAAGCTTCTTCCCAGGCCAAATGGAAGAGTTTGCTGTTCATCAACTGTATTCTCAGATTCAACATATATGAATGCAGGATTTTTGATATAATTAGGGACAAYTGGTAGCTTTTCACTGGTAGCTACTTCAACATCTTCAGCTGTTCCAATCATCTCTTTGATTTCTGGATCTTTAGCTAGCGAACCTGCAGTCTCTCCCTTGCTTGTTTTCAAAGTCTTTGAGGCACCTTCTTGCAACAGAAACTCGACAATCTTTTTATGTCCTCTCTTTGCAGCCCAGTGCAATGGCGACCAACCATTTATATGATTAGCAGCATTAACATTTACACCTTTTCCAATGAGTAATTTAACTTTTCCTTCGTCTCCCATGCAGCAATACTCTCTCAACTTTTCTTCCATATTCTTCATCTTGTCCTCCATTTTGCCTACTCCCGACTTTTAATAGCTCGTTAGGAAATGCTATTTGATTGGTTCGTTTTAAAAGCCACGACCAATCCCAACTCGTGTTCGTTTAAACCATTTACAAAGAAACCCGCTGACTTTAGCACGTGGCTCGGGAAAACAAAGATGGCCACGAGAAGAACTCGACCCCAAGGAGAATCCAACAAAGCTCCTTCTTCAGACTCAAATACCAGCGAAAAAGGAGATTCGTAAGTGCTATRAAACTATCAATACGCCATTACTTTATAAATGGAAAAAAGACAGTTTAGAAATTTCACGTGAGACTCATGTTTGTCACGTGATTGTAAGAAGCTTTATTGTCTTGTTACGACTGATACTAGTACTAGTAAGAAGTAAGCTTACGCTTTTTAATGTTTACATAACTGATAACATTAATTATTAGTGTACCTGTCCTAGAGAAATTATATCTGCAAAAATACATGTGTTCTGTGGCTCTTCAAAASAAATTGTTGGGAGGGGAGCGGAGGTACATGTATACTGAATCAGATTTTACCAGGACCATTGACCACATTCATTGATAACCTACTCTGTAAGCATCTCATTTCTTCTCCTCTGTGCTTCATGTGTAAGGTGTCAAGAGAGAGGAGTCCTGAACTATGCCAAAGTATTATGTACAAAGCTAGCCCACCAATAGGAAAGTATGTGTAGAAGAGATTAGAGACACCCCAGGGGAAGACGTTGTTCCAAAGTAAGATCGCCTAAATTCATACCCTGTTCCAGGRCAAGATCGCTGAAAACCATACCCTTTTCCRGTAGTGCAAAAATAGATACCCTGTTCCAGAGAGGAGAGAGCGTGATTTCGTATATTCTGTCCCAGAGCAAGCGYGATTTTATATACCCTGTTCCAGAGTAGAATCGCTGAAAACCAAACCCTGTTTGGCGGCACGTACCTGTATAGCGAATATAGGGGAGTACCCCCCCCTCCGGGAGAGACACCTGCAGAGGAGCTAGGCTAGATCATTTAAATTTCATTTGAATTATGAATTCATTCACTATCTTGCCTCTGAATTGCTAAGAATATCCAACCAACTATGATAAACTTGACATGATAAATCTAGTGTAGAAGTTCTCCAAAAAATTAAATATTTTATTATCATGATTAGTTCCAGAAATTATCCATGCCTCCCCTCCCCCCACGGAGAAATTTGTAATTTCCTAGGACTRGGGGGTCAAAGAAAGAACGAAGTTACAGAGTTTGTGTGGGAGAAAATTGAGAATTTCTGGGATGAGGGCCCTTACAAAAATTCTCTGTGGTGAGGGAGACAAGAGGGGGGGGGGGGGTAGTTAGGATGATTTTTGGAACTAAATATTAAAAATATTTCACAATCTAAGTTACTTTTCCAGTTCTCATTTATGCAAGGAAAATCTTCTCATTCTGCATCTTTTTATTATCTATTCTCCCCCCCCCCCCCAAATTTCTAGCTCCTTAATGGCAATTAATGATAGTACATGCAATTTTAAAATACCCCTTATTGCATTTTAATGATTTTCTAGAGATACCAAGTACAGTGATTATACCAGTGAAAATGTCTGGTGTCCAAAGCCATATACCATGTTCAAGCTTCTTCTCTCTGCTAGATTCTGTTCTGCATTTCTGAGTAACATATCAGACTGTGACGAGACATTCAACTACTGGGAACCAGTAAGTACACACATGTTATAGTGGTTTTCATTTGTGTTAAGGAAACATACGCTACAGATGTCTAACCGCATATACTTAACACTTCCTAAGTGCTTTATTACTGGATGGACCACAGTAAAAGCTATTTTATTAATTTTATTATTTAGTCACTAATTTTAAAAATAGTCTCAGGATCTAGCAGCACTTTTCGTGCATGGATGGTGTGCGCACTATGCTCTGTTCACTAATAATGCTCAGTTTTTGACAATCAGCCTGTGCATACTATCTTAACTATATAATAATAAAAATGGCTTATGACATACTGTAACAATGAAATTAAAGCCTTCCATGCAGATGTTTTGCAATAATAATTTTATCAACTATAAAGTACTCATATTACAGCTATGGTGAGATACTGTAAAGTTACAAATTTGCTGTATCCATCATATTACTCATATAAATATTGATCTTAAAATATCTTTTCACTAAAATGAAAGGAATTCGACAGCAAAGATTTGCTGGTAGTGGGTTAGCTAGCTGGCTGATAACTGAGATTTTTCAGTGTATCGCTTATAGATATTATGCAGTTATATTTTTAATAATTGGTCCACTATATTAGAGTCATTGGTCTTATTGCATTGATTTCAGACCCATTACTTGTTATATGGAACAGGATTCCAGACATGGGAATACTCACCTCAGTTTGCCATCAGATCTTATGGTTACTTGTTATTGAATTCAGTTTCTGGTTTCCTGCAAGTTCATTTATTCAAGGCCAACAAGGTATGTAAAAAACATAATATACTGTGTCTATAACTACAATAGGATTAGAGTGTGGACCGCGTGGYACTAATGAAATAGTAGAAGATAATATAGGTAAGTTGTAGTGCTTGGGAACGAGGTTATTCCGGGCGAAAGCCCTTGGAATTAAATTCGGAAAAATTAATTTCCGACCTCGCTGGAATTCGAACCCACGACCTTCGGAATTGTACTACCGATGCTCTACCAGCTGAGCTAGAGGTCAGACTGAGAGCAGGCCGGGGTGAAATAGATGTTAGGTCGCGGTAATTATGATGCAAAGATGAGAGTGTGCACTACAACTTACCTATATTATCTTCTACTATTTCATTAGTGCCACGCGGTCCACACTCTCATCTTTGCATCATAATTACCGCGACCTAACATCTATTTCACCCCGGCCTGCTCTCAGTCTGACCTCTAGCTCAGCTGGTAGAGCATCGGTAGTACAATTCCGAAGGTCGTGGGTTCGAATCCCAGCGAGGTCGGAAATTAATTTTTCCGAATTTAATTCCAAGGGCTTTCGCCCRGAATAACCTCRTTCCCAAGCACTACAACTTACCTATATTATCTTCTACAATAGGATTACTTTTCTGAACTGTGCTTGAAGATTTGAAAACTGTTTTTTGAAATACTGAAACTTTACAATCTTATTATTACAGCGATAACTTTTGTATTGTGATCTGCTGTTTCAAAACTTGTTTGTAGTTTGACTCTTTTCTGAGCCGTCCATCATCTTGGGTTTATGTGAATGAGTCTACAAACATGATCACTCAGCATCGACCGTCAACACATGTTTTTTCGAAAATCTAAAATGACTCAAGAATATTCYAAGGAATAGCAATGAAGAAWTAGTGAAATGGGGGGTCGCGATACAATAGTTATCTCTGTAATAATTATTACATTTTCTGCTTTGTCGTAGGTTTTGGTCTTTTATTTTCTTCGCTTCATTCTGTCTATTATTTGTGCAGCTTCAGAGTCTTATTTTTACAGGTAAAATGAATTATAAATTGAATCATGAACATTATACACATGTGTGGCATGTTATTAATGAATGGGAAAATTTTAACAACAATTTATTATTGTTTCAGTGGAATTATCAGGCAATTTGGTAGCCATGTGGCTCGATTGTCTGCAGTTTTTATGGTCTTTGCTACTGGAATGTTTATTTCCGCTGCAGGTACAGCTGTAGTATTTTGACAAGTTTGTTTTGCTTTACAATGCTTTACAAGTYTTAATTGTGCTCTCTACCGCTAACCAATTAGATATCAGCGCTTCACTTTAAYATTTGGACAGGTGGAGTTCGTACATAGATGTAACAATATCCAAACATTAAAGTCAAGGGCTAAAACGTAATTGGTTAGCAGTAAAGAGATTGATTAAAACTTGTCAACAACTTGTATGAAACTTTGTTGGGTGTTCACAGTTTGGCGCRTACCACTGTAACTTTCTTTACAATACCTTATAAATACTTTATGTCACATACAAAAATAGCTTAATTGTAAAATGTTAACAGTATGGTTTGGGACTGGTTATTGTTTTGTGTCTGTGGGGAGAGGGGTGGTCAGAGGACTTAGGGGGGTTCACATGTTTTTTAGACATGTTTATAGGYATATATTGATTGCCATATTTTCTCTTTGTGGTCAGCCTTCCTTCCAAGTACATTTGCTATGTACATGGTGTTGTTATCTTATGGAGGCTGGTTTACTGGACACTATCCTGTAAGTACCATTTATCATCATCACTCCTCATGGAAGGGAATGGAAGGGAGATATTATCAAATGGAAAGGGATGAAAGAAAAATGATATTAAATGGAAAGGGGCAAAAGAAATGATATTAAATGGAAAGGGATGGAAGGGACTTAATATTAAATGGAAAATTTTAAATTTTGAACAATGTCACCACAAAAGAATCTTCACTCTACAAAAAATGCATRTTCGAATGTTTCTTTAATTGTTTCATCAACTATTTTTCACAGATTGCAGTTGTCTGTACTGCTGCAGGAGCCTTAGTAGGATGGCCTTTTAGTGCTGTTTTGGGGTAAGACATTGTTTCCATTTTCATATTCAACATTATTTTGATGCAGCGCACATGTAATGCCATACATGTATACCATATTCAAGGTTTACAAGAAGAGAGAGGATTCTTGACAAACATCAACAAATTATCCCTCCCTCCCCTCCCCCCAAAACACATGCACACATATCAAATAGACTGTAGATGTGCAAAAGGTCAAGGGGTCAGGGACACCCAAGGATCACCCCTGATACACTTATGCTACATGAATGTCAGCAATATTCCTTAGAATATTGCATCCTTGTCGAGTTAATCTATAACATTAAAGCATTGTTAATTTGCTACATTTCAGGGCTCCTATTGCATGGGACATTGTCATACGGCAAAGAAGACTTCGTTACTTTCTGGAATGGTGTATTATATCACTTATAGCTGTATTAGTAAGTAATTTCTTGGATAATGGTATGGGAAGATACACTTGATAAAATGCAGTACATCACAGAATAAGTTTGTAACCATTTTAAGATGACAGAAAGGGACTGGCCATTATTTAAGGGGAATTTCTGCTTTTTCTGATCCCTCTTTTCGTAATGAACATTTTTTCAGGCCCTCCCTCCCAGCTTGATCCATCTTTGCCAGAATAAAAACACCCAGCCCCCCCGTTCCCACCCTCTAAAAAATGGCTGGTCCCTAACTAGATGAATGGGAAACAGAAAAGAATAATGATGGTGATTTAAGAACCAAATGATATACAATTAGTTTTTCTTCTTGTCACCATTAACAGGGACCACTGGTATACATTGATTCTGCCTACTATGGTAAAGTGGTTATTGCACCCTTAAATATCGTCATGTACAACGTGTTTGGCAAGGGAGGCCCAGATCTTTATGGTATGTCTTTCTTTCCGGTTCTTCTTATTTTTTTAATTCATTCAAACTAAAGGTACATGTGTATGGTGAAGGATAGATCCAAGAGATTAAGATTGAGTGGCTATCCATTACCTACTTTTGAAGTTTTAAAAAAAGTAAGAAATATGAATAAGGTCAAATCTAGGCTTTTCTAAGTTAAGTACAATTTACAAAGTACAATTTTTCCTCACAACTATCACGTACAACATGCCATGCTGATGAAGCAAATTGCTTTGTGTAATTCTGACAGTCGTAAAACGTGCTTATGGCAGGTAAAACTTGGTATCAGCATGTTGTGACCAACAGTTGTGAGGAAAAAATCTGCTGTGTAAATTGGCCTTGGATTACCACTGGTGCGACACTGGTGCACATCGTTTACAGAATCCATTCCTTGTGTTAAAATTGCATTCTTCTTGTAGGTGTTGAGCATTGGACATTTTATTTTATAAATGGATTTCTTAATTTCAATGTAGTCTTCCTAATGGCTGTACTTGTGTTTCCCATATGTGTAAGTTGAAGAATCGTAGTAAGATGAGTACAATACAGTTAATTCCTTGGTGCCATGAAAAAGTTGCAGTACAAACTGCCGTGTTAGATGTGATTTTGTCACACCTGGACATCGATTGGATGAGCACTAATTCTCCGCAATATGAATTGGTTCATGGATGTCATCAATTCCCTGTCGTAGACATGCCTTGTTTTGTAACTTTGCAGTAACTCAAAGTTTGCTTTACACTTATTGTTTACTTAATGATAATTGTTAGTTTTAACCTTAAAAACTTTTGTTTTTCATATCAGGTTTTTGTCAAGCTTTTGGTAAAGGAAAAAAATGAAAGAAGGAAATGTAAGTTTTTTTTTTGTAGTTGCACACTGATTGTTCATTGTTTGTTCTCCTCCTCCTGTTCCTCTGTATCATCACCATTATCATCATTGCTATCATCATCAGCATCATAACATCACCATCATCGTTGTCATCATCATCATCAGATGCCTGCCATTCTAATAAATTTCAATAATAATTATTGTTGCTTAATTGGTTTATTCATTTGAATAAGTTATATGTATGTATATAGTTCCTTCATCACGTTTACCAGTTTGGTTTCCAATGGCTGCCATGTACATATGGATTGGTATATTCTTTACAAGACCACACAAAGTAAGAATGAAAGCATTGTCATTATCAACATCATCATCGTGAATGTCATCATACTGCTATCCCCAACATCATCACTATCACCACTTATTATCAGCACTGTCATCATCACCATCACAGTCTTCACCATCATTCACTATCATTGTCATCACCTTCACCATCATTGTCATCATCACCACCATCATCACTGTCATCACCATCACCATAATGGTCATCACCACCACCATCATCATCATCTGTCTTCACCTTCATCATCAATTATCATCATCACTCATCATCATCACTTTCATTATCATCATCACCACCATCATTATCACCTTCACTGTCATCATCACAATAATCACTGTCATCACCATCAACATCACCATCATTATCATCATCATCACTGTCATCATCACAATCATAACTGTCTTCGCCATCACCATCTTCATCCCTCATCATCATCACTGTCATCATCATCATCACTCACAACATACATGTAGTCATAATGATCAACTATAATCAAAACCCAACTGATTCAGTGTCGTAAGCGTCAGAAATAGCAACATAGCCACTAATCGATAGGACATTTCATATCAGTATAATCACAACACTATTGTGATCATGATAATAGTTACTCTTATCTTTATGTTTTACAAATATCTTACTCTTGCTCATGTTGGTTTGTTTCAGGAGGAAAGGTTTTTGTTTCCTATATATCCATTGTTCATTCTGTTTGGTGCAGTATCGTTATCCAAAGTACAGGTATGCTCCTGCTGCTGCGCTCGCTTGACGATGATAGGTTTTGGTGGACCTCAATCAAGGYGTTTCCATGACATTCCATAGGCACCTGCTCTTGAATACTTCATGTTTACCGATGATGTCATGGAAGCTTGGAAACACTTTGATTAACATCCACTAGACAGCAAATGGTACAATCTCGCGGGTACAATAGAGAATGGCTGAAATAAGTGTGAAGTGTGTAGTTCAAGCTTTTTATTTTAAATAAAATGGAAAAAGACTCCACCTTTTTTTTTTACTTCGATTTTTCAAACCTACTGTAGTAAGCTGAGTATCAGGCTCTCTTCCCCTTCTYCCCAGATCCCTCAATTAGACCCCCCTCCCCCTGGGACCTGATACTCAGGTTAAAACCTAGCAAACGCCAAAAAGACCAGGGCCCAGTTGTTCAAAGCCCGATTAGTGCTAATCCTGGGTTAACTCTTAATAAGACCTATAGAGTTAATCCTGGATTAGCGCTAATCGGGCTTTGAACAACTGGGCCCAGGTTTTTACATAATTACAGAGATATTGCTTATAACTCTTTTGACAGAAACTTTTCCATCACCTTTTTACCCGTACAAACCGACAACACTATTCTGTATCGTCTACTTGGCTTGCCGTGACTGTTGGTGTGGTATTCTCGCTTCTTTCCCTATCAAGATCCAGCGCTTTGTTTTACGGTACGAAAATCTTTTTTTCTGCTCTGCGGAGTACCTTTGTCGGTGTTTGACTTAGAGGGGGTTGGGTCATATGGTCATTCATTGGATCCTTTATGACGTCTTTGTATGGAAAATATTATTTAAAGAACTACGATTAAAATTAATTTTGTAAAGATTTTTCTTCTCTTTCCTTCTTTTTTCTTTCTTTCTTTCAGTTTCTTTCTTTCTTTCTTTCTTTAAGGATTTTCGTTTAAGAAAAATAATAATAATAACAAGAGCAGAGTACACGAGCAATTATTCCGTTGTTAAACTGTTTTTGTTATATTTTGTTTCTGAATGAATTTTCAGGCTATCATGCACCGCTCGACTTGTACCTTGAGATCAATCACATGACAGAGAACCTTGATAAATACGTCAATCGAAACACAAGTAGAATCAATGTTTGTGTAGGCAAGGAGTGGTATCGGTATCCAAGCAGCTTTTTCTTACCAGATGACAGGTTAGTAACCAGAAATACCATCACTTTACGTTAGGGAGCGTTCATAATACATGGGGTGTGGGTAGGAACTCTATGGGATTTTACATTTTAAAATAATATCTTTGGGGTGGCCCTGGTCAAATAAACATATTCTCATTGACCCACTAAACTATAGAATTTCCGTAGAGACTAAAAATATCATAAATATCAAAGATAGTTTCGATACCCCACATCCAAATTGTTGCCGGAGAAAATGGCTGGCCCCCTTCCAAGTCAGTCCCCATAGCCGAATCGAACCCTCTACCCAAGGCGGGAATGACGATTTTCCAAATAGTTTGATTCGGACCAAAAAGAATTCTTTGATATGCTTCTTCGGTGATAAATACCTCGTTACCTGAATCTTCTGGTTTGGAGAACGCGATCAACATGCTTAAAATGGCTGCCCACTTGAGGACAATAAAGCCAGATATGTTAAAGGTTGACTTCCTGGGAGTGAAGCGTTTTCCATACTTCATGGCCAGGAAACAATCGACGATGAGTGCCAACTGAGTGAACAAGTCGTTGACAAGAAAAAACCGATGAAACAACATAGTGTACCATCTTKTCTGCTTACTGAGTTCGGCCTTCTTGGTGAACAGGAAGTATTGCATGAAGAGAGGGATGTTCACCGTGACGTCCAGAAACTCCACGATCGTCAGGTCAATTAACAGGTAATTGGAAAGGCACCGAAGGTTTTTAAATCGAACGAAAAGGAATACCATTGTGCCCTGGCAAATAAATCCAAATACTAGCAGAGCGACCAGAAGACAAGTTTGGAYAATGATATTTCTTTGGATTGCTGGGCCAGCCATGAAATCATCTTCCTCTGACGAGATTTCCCCCGCCATTTTCAACGACAGGTGACAGATTGCACGCTTACATCGTCTGTCTTTGTTAGTTAAGTCAAGAATACTTCGACTGTTAAATCAAAAGTAAATCAAAGGAAAACATTGGCATTTTTTTGTACTACATGAATATTATTTTACGATGACTATTCAGTCTTCTATTACGGGCTACGACCTTTATTGAAATCCGAACAAATTTTGTAGTTAAAGTTAAAGCTTATTAGTGCCGGCAGTAGAAAGTAAATGAACGTGACTGATATTTTTAAACAATTAATGGTATAAATTTGTAATTACAATGTTTGCTTAACTTACCTATTATCCTTAAAGGCTATCCAAATTTTGCGAACGGTTTTTTTTTCCCGGCGTTCCTCGGAAATGTAACTGTGAAAAGAAAGTGAAATTTTGCGTTTACCGCATCTTTTCGTTCAGTTTTATAGAATTTTGCGCGAGTAAATATGCTTAAAGAAACCACTCGTGATAGTTTTATTTGATTGGTTAATCGTCTTTGGGCAGGGCAGCATAATAATTTTCTTGCATCCTTCAAAAGAAACCGACAAAACAGCATTGCTATAGGAAACAGCAAAAATATTCAAATAGCCTCGCGCGATTGGTTGGAAAGTAAGAAAGAAGTTCATATTCGGTGAAGACGTCTAATTTAATCTAGACTCTTAAAGTTGTCCATATTAGGTAAAATAATAAGATTTAATTAGCCCGACGTCATTGTCTTGCCGGTTTAACTTGTTTATCTTGAGACACCCTGACCACACCCATCATTAACCATCTGTGTTGACGATGTTGTTGGTGATGTGGCATGAAGCTGATGATGGTGTGATGCCTTACTTGTTAGCTGGCATCCAAGTGCTTTAGAACTTTACACAGCACAGCAAGCAAGTTTATATTTCTTTTATAAAATACAAATTAGAATAGCAACTATTTTGGACACGAATGACGAAATAGAAAGTGCGCGCGTGTTGTGTGTTTCCATAAAGCACGCGCTCCCAACCAATCGGTACGCGAAATTGGTAACAGTTATTTTATATTTTATGATAGCTGTTGCTGTTGCTACTTCTGCTGCTGCTGCTGATGTTGTTGTCGTATAATGAAGAAGATGAAGATGTTGTATATAGCTGTTGCTGCTGCTATTTCTGCTGCTGCTGTTGTTGTTGTATGATGAAGAAGATGAAAATGTTGTATATAGCTGTTGCTGCTGATGATAATGATGATAATGAAGGAGAAGAAGATGATGTTGTTAAAACTGATAATAATGTTATTACAACTTTACTTTTCGTTCTAAAGGTGGCGCTTACAATTTATTGAATCAGAATTCAGAGCTCAACTCCCTAAACCCTACGCCACGGGCAGCAACGCAACGATGATTATCCCCACCGACATGAATGATATGAATAAGGAAGAGCCCTCAAGATATGTAAGTATTATTGAATCAATCTTGTTACAATAAAAACGTATGTCACGTGACTGATTCGTCTTGGAGACTTTATTGCGTCATGGGGGCTTGTTAACTTCATCTAGTGATGCTTGAGTAGTCAAAATGAAAATACGAAAGGTTGTAACGTGATGTCCTATTGACGCAATATTCGTGACGTCACTGACTACGCCGCGTCAAGTCGGTGTAAGGAATCATGAACTTACAGTTCTTATTATATAACTAGGTGCCGTTAAATCAGTGTCATTTTCTGGTTGACATGGATACCGGCAGAGAAACAGCACGAGAACCAAACTATTCAAAACAAAAAAATCGATGGGCTGTCATAGCAACCAAACCGTTCCTTGACAACGAAAGGTAAGGACTAAGTTCGTAATTTTCATAACTCATTATAAATCAACTCGATAAAAAATTGAAATAATTACTGGCTGAAGTTTTTCTCTTTCAACGTGTTAATGAAGTGAAGAGTCAAATTGGCAAGCACACTTGTTTAGTTTTTGACTCGTGAAAAATAATCAGTAGCTGATACTTTTCGTCGTCTTGTTTCCAGATCACATCGACTCTTACGAGCGTTTTACGTTCCGTTTCTCTCCGAGAGCTTCACTCGATATAACGATTACAATCTACTTTGGTCTTTGAAAGCGAAAACGAATGGTAAAAAAAGACGACGACAAAAAGTGCATTATAGAGTAGAAAAGGAGAAATAACATGACTGAGCCCAAATACGAATCATCGTAGTATAAAAAATGATAGAATAAATATCTGTGATTGTCTTAATATGGTAACTGGGTTCCCTGTTCTTCGCGTCGTTGACAATGGATTGATAACTTATGACATAACTTATAACTTCGAGGACCACCTGAAAACTGTCAGTCTGATTACAGTGTACCCTGTCCAATAAAGTTATTATTATTATTAATATTATCATTATCATTATTATTATTAATATCATTACTATTATTAATATTATGACTTGGTCGACAGAGAACTCGGATGGGGGTATGGAATTCATTCTCATCCAGACAACCAGACTCTGCTAATTCAAAAGAAAATCGAAGGTTCTCACGATTATGCTAAGGAGTAGAGCATGGGTCTAGAATAGGAATTTGGGGGAGGGGAGGGGAGGGGGATTTTGTAAAAAAAAAAAGGGTAGGGGAAAAGAAAAAAGTTGGCGCTCAAAACGTTTTCTCATACAATTTTTTCCTCTTGATGATTTTTTATTCCTTAACAGAAACTTGACATAAATATTTTTGATAATTTTTCGTAATATAACTCTTATCTATTCTTTCTTCGTTTAAATAGCTTCCTTTTTCATTGGTGTTCTATATGATTTATACCATAGTAGTTGAGTGGCATAACGTGTGATGTACCGCGAAGCATTAGTATTTTCTATTACACAAACAAGACTTCTGCAGTGTGTGTTTTCCAAGAAAAYACAAATGCCAAGTGGAATATTCCACAGTCCTTTTCTGAGTTCCATAAACAGGATGCATTATGGTCTAGCTTGAGTACAACTGAACAACACCATATAAGGCATGATGACCAAAATACATTCGTACTGAGGCTAGACCACAATGCACCAAGTTGGGTACCTCAGAAAATGACCATGGCATGCCACGATAAATAATTAATCCCACACCATTGATAGTACGTAGGCATGTCTGATGGGAAGAAACAGTGGAATATCGTACCCCCAATACACAACGGCTTTCCTGTATTTTGATTGGCCGTGTTTTCAACGGTGTGTGATGATAATACTCTATACAATATTTCTTTGTAACTTTGTCTATAGTCATAGTAATCAAGTCTTTGCATGTTGGGGTAAAACCCACTCAAATGCCATGTAATACTCATTCAAACAAAACCCACATTCCTCTACAGCAATGCCATAAAACATCCTCACATTCTTACATTTGATCTCCTCCTTCCAAGCCTTACACGAGTATCCTTCCTTCTCCAGTTCGTCTTTGAGCAGGTGTACAAAGAGCTCCATGTTTTCTCTCGATATATCGACCAAAACATCAGAATTTGACAACCGTTGTTTTAACTTCTCGTACGACTGCTGCTGTTGTATCGAATTCTTCGACGAGCTCGACACGACGATGCTATGATTCATTTGTGCAATACACTCGGAGCATTCAAAAAGGTTAACACTGTCGTCCTTGGAAAGTAGGTTTACTCGAGTCGATGTGGTCAACTCTTTCATGCTTTTCAGCTGCGCAGTACTCACAACTACTTCTTTCCATTTTACAAACGAGTTCCCGAGTTTGGACTTTTTAGCTTCGTCGAGCTTCATTGCGAAAACATGAGGATTTCTTTCGAGTTTTTCGATCAAACTTTGGACCTGGTAGAACTGAGCTTCTTTGTATACCTGGTAAATAAGTGTGRCCTCCGTTAGAATATATTTAGAATTTACCGAATTGCGGCGGGATTTCGTTCCTCTGAAAACCAAATGTGATCTGTGAGTTTACCRTGCCCTGACTGTGTTCACTTTAGAGGTTCTTTCAGGGTTCGATAAATGGGTGCTTGGTTTGATGCAGCTTGTAGCGCGATATTGTTCTTCTTAATCAATGACGATACTAAAGATTACGCGTGCGTAAATTCTCTATTCACTATTATCGTTCCCAGAACTCTCTTATGTGGTTAAATGAAACCTTTAAKAGCAGATTTTTTCCTAAATGAAAGTTATAGTTTGTATGAGAGAGGGGAGTTTCGCCAACGTATTACTATCCCCAGATCCACCCATAGTATTCTAAATATAGGTCTTAATACCGCAACCTGATTGATAATAAGCCGTGCTTCTCACTGACCTGGACGGACACGGAAGGTGGAGGCAATTCCAGATTGTCTCTCAAGAAGTTTAGAATATAACCAAAATACGCGCCATCACGATCAATGAAGTACCTCCCTTCGCTGTCCTTATCGATGTYGTACCGACCACTAAACATCACGGCCAACATTGACTCGCTGTCCTGGGTTAACGTTGATCGTTTTGTTACGTAGTAATGGCCGCCCACATTCAGGTTTATTATGTCTGGGAAATCATTCTGGAAGTACAAAAAGTAAAAATTGATTGAATCACTGAAACTACACGCTTTTACGCTGGCTTTTATTATAGACGTAGTTAGATTGAGTATGGCGTGTCTTTTGTTCGATTCGAGATTTTTTCTCCAGGTTCTCTGGTTTTCCTCCCTCCGCAAAAACTAACAAGCTAACATCTAATTTGATCTGTGAGTTAGCCGTGCCCTGACTTAGATCAGCCCAGAGGTCGTTTCAGGGTTTGATCAGTGAGTTAGCCGTCGCCTTGACTTAGATCAGCCAGAGGTTGTTTCAGGGTTCGATCTGTGCCGGAGTTAGCCCGGTGCATGCCTTGACTTAGATCAGCGCAGAGGTTGAGAGTTTGTTTCAGGGTTCGATCAAGTAAAGAGACACAGTCCTTGCTACTTACTTTCTCGATGCTTTTCATGGTGTTCAGTTCGTGTTGTTGCTGGGACACAGTTTGTACCATATTGCCGGCTTCACAGTTTGGTTAAACACATGCTGTCTGAAATTGGAAAATAAATTTCAAAAACACAATTGATAGTTAGCAATACACTGTTTACTGCTCGAACGACCTACGGGAATGTTGGTTGATAAAATAACTGATCTTCTGGTCCTGTAATGGGAATATATGAAATAGTTTTTAAAAAAGCTATTAGGAAAACTGTTGGTCTTGTTACTTTTTGCTGATGATGAGGGAAAAATTGATTTTACTTATTAATCGATAATGTGTAATTCCATAAATGACTAGTCAATTTTTTAGATATAGAAGAAAACAAGGGAAATTATTATTGTCTGAGTACTAACTACAATATGCTCAAACAGGTTTCAGCGTATAGTTTAAAGCGGAGTTTCGAACTTGATCGTTACAAAACTGAAAGAAAAAACTCAATTTTGAATGCGGAACTGATGACTAACACAACATCAGTTCCAACCCAAAGGACTGTTCTGTTATACAGTGATTCACTTAGTAACACACTCCGCTTAGTCCTATATATCTTCAAAAATAATGGTATTCAGTTACTAGGCTACTCAGCTTATGATAAATCATTCATTCAAATGATTATCAAGTGTGGCTATTGTAGAACCATTTGTTGTTTTTCTCTCATAAAGGATCTCAGCTTCACTTCTGTTTGAACAGATTGTGTCATCAGCCTAGTGTTTATATCGTATCATTGGTGAATCGAGKGGACTCAGTTGTAATAACAGAAATGCTATAAACTGTTCTTACTTATTTCATGTTAACAAGGGCTTTAGTATTTTATTTTTTCCAAGTGTTTCGTTAAATATTATTTCAACATTTCTTGAGTAAACATAAAGAGAAGATACTAGCACACAGTCAAATACTTTTGTCTTTATACAATATCCCTTAGTTTCTAGAAGAAAATAGAAGCGAAAATCAAAATAAATACATAAAGGTAATGATTGTTTTTACTAGCGAGCAACCGAAAGTGGCCATATAAAGTTGGATGAATACCAGATGCAATTTGAATATTCTATTAGCCATTTTCAGTAGACRAATATATTACCAGTCGCTATTTTGAAACCAACGAAATATTTGACGTCGTAGTCTATCTAACCTATACACGATTCTTAAGTACTTTTTGTATCCTAGAATTTTAAAACATTTAAATTTAATATTGTTAGAATCGAAGAGTGTCCGCAAAGCATTGCAGATCAGTGATTAACAAAGTCCCCGCGCCGAAGCGCGCGATATGCAAATGTAGGGGAAAACCGCAAATGGCATYATACGAGATAGATCATCCCAAAGTCGTTACAATTCACTCGTTATTCATAATTCTGAACTCAAAAGAACTAAACTAGATGTATTGAACCACTTACTTTTTTATGCTTTGAGAATTTCGATAGAAAAATGAAGAGGAATAGTCTCGGAAGCCAACCAAACGCCTCTCGCTTCGTATTATATTCACTATAGTGTCAAAATATTCTTGTGAAATTTAATTCTTTGTCGATCTCCATGGAAAATAGAATAAATTCTAAAATAATCGAAAGCAGAAGAAAACTTTTCCACGGAAGGACCTTCAGACATCAAATAAATTTACAGCAAAAGCATTCTGGTGACAGAATGACCAGAAATGAATAATTATTAGGAGTTTGTTTGGGTTTTGTTGACTTGACGCGTGCCCTGTGTTTTTCATTTATCGTCAAATTCAAACATATTTTTGCTTACTTTACCTTAACCCAATGTAATATTCAGTTTTTCTGYCTTGTCAAGTCACCCCGAATCTTCGTATTTAACGAATATAAACGTTTCCAGAAGCCGAATGTCAGTTGATATTTTTTCGATTGTCAAATGAATGAAGATCGACGAACGGTTTCCGATGACAAGGTGTGAGAAAAGCACAAAGCCAACCCGTCATGCCTTGCTGGTGGCATGATATATCAACAAAAAAATATAACCAGCAAATTTTTTGACCTTACAAACCTGTTTAATAAATATATAGAGTTTAATAAACATGCAACAGTTATATGATATTTTCAAAGGTACGACGAAAAATCGAATTTGAAATATTACTCTATAAAAACTTGTACTGATAGCGTGTGAACTTGATCTGTAGTTTTTTTCCAGCATGCAACACATTTACCATCTCAAGGCCACAACAGAGATCGATTTTTTTCAAAAGCAGAATCCAATCTTTATAATCAAAGGTCGAAATCTTTAGCAAAATTGAATTTAGTTTTCGCGTGTGAGCCCAGGGATTCCCCATATGGGCTGTTCCCATGGGTACTTTGAGACTAGGCTGCGTTCATAAAGTATGGCAGAGAGGGGGTGCAGGTGAAATTGAGGGGGGATCGGGAAAAATTTGGTAGGAAAAAGGGGGGATGGGCAAATTTTTATCATAAAAATGGGGGGAATGCACAATTTTTGGAAGAAGCTACAAGCCTTGCTTAGGAGGGATCGTTTTTTTTTT